GATATTATATAGGTATTATTATATAAAATATAGGCTCTTTGGCCTCGGCGCACACTGAGTAATTTTACTCAAGTAATGATGACTATGCGTCAAAATAACCCGTGTGCGCCGGATTTTTTGTTGAGTTTTCTGACGCATGCATGCATCAAGAACTCAATTTCAAACCTGTTTGATAATTTTAGCTCGTGCGTCAAAATATTCAACGTGTGCAGCGCTAGCTGCGTAAATTTACTCAACACTGGTACTCACAGCGCCATGCGTTTAAATCGTTTTAAGAATGAACTGCGCCAGTATTGGCTGCGCACAGTCACGTGATCTACATTTACCACTAATACCTTGAGTAATTTTACTCACGTATGCGGCGGACGCTGAAAAATATTTCGCGTGAGTATTTTGACGCATGCATCATTTTACTTGAGTAAAATTACTCACGTGGTGCGCCGGGCTTTAAGGCATATTCTTGAGCACCTGATGTTAATTAGCAGAACCCGCAATTTATTGGCCTTCAGTAAACATTATTTAAGGTTCTCATCGTGATTAATAACTTTTCACCGGACGGATGACTCCGTAAAATTAGGACTACCGATATTCTAGCTTGCGCATATTGATAATTTACCTTATCTATGTTACACTGGTATATTTATTGTTCAGCTAGTATGAGGAATAAATAGAATTTTTTTTTAATGTCTGATTTATGTTTTTGTTTACATTTATCGCAAGGAGTATTTTTATGCTACTTCTCATGGCAATGCCGAAAGTTGGGCTGATCGACTAAGTTTTTTAGTTTTATGATTTTTTTTATTTCGACCATGTCATCAAGAACAATATACGGGGATTTTTGCACTTTTGTGAAAACGCATAATTTTGCAAAGGAAACACTAAGGCAGCTGGCAAAATGTTGTAATTAATCGTTTATTGTTAACCAACTGTCAGACGTGATGCGTACACACGCCGCGCCACATGTATGCGCGTACACGCAGTGGGCAGCAGTTATGGCGCCTGTGTATATTTACACGCATGCGTGAGCGCACGCACGCACGCGAGCTCGGGTGCACGAGCGTGGAGAAATCTAATCAGAAACCATCGTCACACCATCGGATCATCGTGATAGTGAATCGACAGATTAATATACTGACTTGTGGCTCATGCGAAATCTGAGTTCGTTCTTGCGCACAAGCGACCTGAAGCTGCTAGGCAGTACCTCCGGATTTATGTCGGATGCATGAGCTGCGTAAGCTTCCTTCGTAAGCTTCCTTCGTAGCTTTCTTCCCTGATTCGTTCTGTTGTTATTGGGCAGTAATCCGTGAGCTGTTCTGAAGGTGCAAGAAATGTGATTGAAGGGTGGAGCTCAGCCCATACCGTCAGGGAAAATATCAGCTAGTCATCAGAAAACGATTTATGAAAAAAATCAGTCGTTCGTCATATATAAGGCGCGCTGGTCGCAGTAGCTTATAAAAAACAATGACGCAGATATGGAAGGCTAATTTGTTTGTACATATGATGTATTACAACATATCAGTTGTACTTTCTGTGACGCTTCATTTACGCAACGTGGGGGGGCAATGATTAAAAAAACCTACGAATATTTCGTTTACACAATTATATTAGGCACGGAATTGGTTAACCTGTGACTACTAAAGTACTCTCTACTGTATAGTTAAAATATCTACCCCTTAACTTGATTTCACCCACTAATATTTCGATTGTCTTGACAATCTTGATAGTAAATGTGCCACAAAAAGTTTTAATTGTGCCAAATTTTATTGCAACTGCGACCATTTTTCTTAACAAAAGCTTGGCCTGTAACACCTACAAACAATGAGCTATTACGAAGGACATGGAAAATATGAAGATATAATAAAAGATAAAAAAGATAAAAGAAAAAGAAGAAAGATAAAAGGGATTACTAGACTGATAACATATTCTTTGTTGAGAACAATCACGCGATCTTTGGGATATCATCAATCAATCGGCATTATAGCCGTTTCAATAACTGTGTCCTCTGGTACTTTCTGCCTAATTAATTACCTCGCGACAACTAGTGCCATTGTTCCCCACCCCGCGTCATAACGAACGTGTAGTTACATTCTAAACACAACAATCAAAAACACAGACATTCCCCTCTATAACACTCTGGCATTTGTTATCCTGTGCGCAAATATTCTGAGTCACGGGATCAGCTGTTTTATGGAGACAGATTAGAAATAATCGCGGATCGAATAATATAATAATAGATTAAATAAATCACAAGTTAAATGAACCTGTCGTCGAATTCGGGTGAAGAACATCCTTCTGGGGACATAACCTGGCAGCTTGCCAGTTTTTCCTTCAGGGCGGATATCGACGGCGACGACGACAGCGCCATGCAAGCCCTGCGGCGTAAATGCTTCCTCACAGCTACCGCACAATGTGAACAAGCGACCGAGTGGATTAAAGCGAGGATTGAAAAGTACGTATATTTAATAGATACGGCGATTCAATCTCGATGAATCTCAGCGAGATAATGATATCATACAAGCTGGCTATGCAGGGCCGGATTCAGGCGGCTCGTCCAGGAAGTTAATTATGACGTACTCCTTTTCGGGATTGGCCTTTGTGGGATTTTCAGGCCGTGTGTGTTCTTGGTTAGAATATAATTACCTCCGCCAGGGGCTTGGCGGAGGTTATGTTTTTACCGGCGTGTATTTGAGTGTTGGTTTGTGTGTTTGTGTGTTACCATGCACGTTTCAGTTCACTTCCGCTAGGTGCGCTGGCTGTATAGACTTACAAACACGCAACCACAGGCTAAAGGGCAACCACAGTCCTCCCCCACCTGCACGCTCGCACTAATCCGAATCCAATTGATTATTTAATTAATTAATTGATTAATAAATTTTTCCACTTAATTAATTAATTAATTAATAAAAAATTTCACATTGAGAGAATTCAGCTACCTTGGCGGAGGTCTGTGCTCTCCGAGTGCTCTAGTTATGTTTACAACAGCTCGTTTAACGTAAAAATCATGCATGGCAATGCCCCGTTTTACGCAAGTAAAGCATTCATGAAACCACGCTCGTAACGTGAAAAGGCGTAAGGCAAAGCGACCATGCACTACCCCATCGGAAAACACATGCCCTCATGGCAAAACAGTCATCAGCAATCATGCCTTACTTCAACCGTTGTGGTTACAATAATTATTTCACAAGCTATATATCGCTGTCGGCCGTATGAATTTAAAAGAGCGCTGCAATTTGCAATGCAGAGCCGGTCGCCGACTTTTACGAGGTTTTGCTATTGTCGGATGGTCTGGGAATATTTTGAATGCATAATGTCGCCTCATGCAATTTATATTTGGTGACAACGGGCGTGCATAAGATCCGACATTTTCGTTGCGAAACTGAGAAATTATTCGTAATGTGTAGCCGAACGCACAAAGGGAGTTTTCTGCATGCCCTATAGCCGTCGACGGAAGCAGTATTTCGCCGGATTTCCGCATTTTTCGTAGAGAGAAAGTCGGCCAGAGTGGGTGTATGCGACAAAAACTTACGCTAGCGTCTCAGCTTGTCGCACAGAGGACGTCGAAAAGAGGTACGGCCTGTATACTCGTCGTCCGGAGACTATGTCCAGCATATCGATGGCAAATCGACGAGCTGCCGGGTATATTAACATATGAATAGGTTTGTAGGACGATGCTGCGGCCAAAGTGAAATCTTGAGAGCGGATTTTGCTGTGTACCTCTCTCTCGGGCATGCCGCTGGCGAGTTTTTAAACCGTAGGATGACAACTGAAGATTGATAAATTATTCATGACATCACACATGCATGGTTCGCGTTTCTGATTTGTGCGAAGTAATAATTCACTTCACTCAAGACCACTTCAAAAGCCCAAAAACATAACCCTAACCCAAGAGCTTTATAATGATCATTATATTTATAAGCTCTATGCCCTAACCATAACCATAACCCAACCCTAACCCTAACCCTAACACTAACTCTATCCCGACTCGGCTATCTTATATACGCGTGTCATAGTACTAAATTAATCTATGGTGTGGGAAAGCGACGCATACCACGCTGCGCGACTGCTCGAACGAATAGCGCATACGAACAGGTGTCCGATGCTCGGACGAATATCCACGACATTCAACTCAATTCAGCATGAGAATGTTGCGTTATGTTGGTCTTACAAAAAATATAGTGAAATGTAATGTAAAGCAGCGACCGGCAACGAATCAGAAACGCGAACCATGTGTGATGTCATGAATAATTTATCAATCTTCAGTCGCCATCCTACGGTTTAAAAACTCGCATGCCGCTGCCCAGTGTAAGTACGTAAGTTTCGCCGAAAAGTATTCTCGTGGCTGGCAAATCGACGAGCGACGCGAACGCCATCTGCCGTGTATATTAGCATAGAAAAAGGAATAATTTATTGTCGCGCGATGCTGCAGCCAGAGTGATTCTTGAGCGTGGATCATTCTTTGCACATCTCTCTCGGGCATGCCTCTGCCCAGGCTAAGTGCGCAAGTTTCGCCGAATGGTTTTCTTGTGGCTGGCAAATTGACGAGTGACGCGAACGCCATCCGCCGTGTATATTAATTAGCACAGAAAAATGATTGAAATATTGCGGCACGATGCTGCGGCTAGAGTGAAATCTTGAGAGCAGATTTTTCTATGCGCATTTGTCTCGGGAATGCAGCTGCCCAGTTTAGGTGCGTAAGTTTTGCCGAAATCGTATTCTCGTGGCCGGCAAATCGACGAACAACGCGAACGCCATCCGCCGTGTATATTATAGCATCTATAGCAATATGTTTAAAATATTGTGGCGCGATGCTGTGGTCAGAGTGAATTCAAGGGCCCTTTCTCTCCCAGCTACACGCGATATTCTGTTAAATCGTTATATAATCAATATATGCATGTAAAAATGCTTACTTATATTCATAATTGTCATTCTAATATACTTCGTTTAGCTGAACGATTTTCCGACTTGTGTACCGAATACTAATTTCTAGAGAAATTCTAAAGTAGAAGTTCCTGTTTATTTACTGTTACTTTATTCCTGAAACGGCCCCAGTCAGTGCTTATGGGGCGTCTCTATGCAGTAAAATACCTAACAGTAAGGTGAATAACACAGATATAGATTTACGTCTACACTGGAAAGAATATACGCATTGGATTTACATCTACGTGTGAATTTACGTTTTCAGCATCTTTATTTATTGTACACGTCGCATAGATCTCATAGCGAGGCAGCAGCGATACTGAAATCGAGCGTCATTTCGGACGAACAACAACCGATTCCGATTGTCACGGGAATTATCGGCGCCCACAGATTGGGAACGCTCATCATTCAGAATCTAGCAAAGCGAGGATATGCTTCACCCGAGACGCTGCTTGTTTCAACCAGAAACCCAAAGCGACACTGTAGGTTTACAATTGTCACGACTGGTGTTGCTAAAAGTTGGGATATATATATATATGTGTGTGTGTGTGTGTGTGTGTGTGTGTGTGTGTGTGTGTGTGTGTGTGTGTGTGTGTGTGTGTGTGTGTGTGTGTGTGTGTGTGTGTACGTTAGTGCGCGCGTGAGCGCAGTGTGCCGTGTGTGTGTGGTGTGGTGTGTGTGTGTGTGTGTGTGTGTGTGCGTGTGTGTGTGCGTGTGTATGCATGTGTAGGTTCATGCGCCATTACTAGTCACAAACTTTAGGTGTGTACGTATATTACAGGTGACTTCTCAGGTTACGTGACTATGTGCTACGACAACCGCCAGGTGGCGGCGCGTGCCGATTTGCTCATTCTGTGCGTTTTGCCTTCACAAATAGGAACAGTTGCAACCGACATACGCGGCTTTCTGAAGCCTAGCTGCGTCATTTATAGCATGGTAATTTAGCAACGCTTGTGGGCGCGTGCGTGCGTGTGTGCGTGTGTGCGTGCTTGTGTGTGCTTGTGTGTGTGTGTGTGTGTGTGTGTGTGTGTGTGTGTGTGTTTGTGTGCGTGAGTGTGCGTGTGTACGTGCGTGTTGTGCAGGGAAGAACCGGAATGCGATTATTGAGAAATTACGTAAAGATTTCCAAGGCAGGAAGAATATGTTGACGACCTAACGTCAAGTACGACCTAAGTCTTAACTAAATATAAAGATATCACCGGTGCGTGCACGCGTGCGTGCGCGCGTGCGAGCGTGCATACTGCGGCCGTGCATGAGCGCGTGCGTGTATCTAACCGCGCGTTGTGCAGGCATGCGCGTGAACGTTCGTGCGTGTATGTTTGCGTGCGTGCATGTGTAGTATTAAAAACATTACTTACTAAAATTTAATTGTTCGTGTGTCGCAGCAGAAATGGAAGTAACGAAACATGACGACAAATGTGTTTTCATGGCAGGTTTGCGCAGTTGGGAAGGATCGCTTAGCAAAGTTAACCAACCATGATCGCATCGTGACACCCAGGCTTCACCTGGTATGTGACACTCGGACGACAGATGACACTGTTGAGGACTATGGACATATAGTACCCATCTCGACCGATAGTAAAAATGTCGCATAGCTGGATATATACCTGAGGGTGGACTGCTTAACTGGTAGTGTGTATAGCAGGTGCAGCTGTAGAGAGCCGTAAGTTTTTGTCTAACTGGCAAACACGAATTGAGCACGAGATATTAGCCTTTCTATAATATTAAAAAGTTCACCACCAACTGTCGTATTGCGATGTAAGAGGTTACATGCATCCACCACTAATCCACATTCTCTACCAATTATTGTACGGGGTAACTGATGATCTTTTTGGTGCGCGGGATTAAGGGAATTCATCTAAGAGAAACAAAAAAATATTACGTGGAATGAGTGGAAAGTGTCGTCTCTGTTTGTTTCATATAGATACAGTATAACAGTAATAGTCATTCTTACTAATTCTACTGAAGTTGAGATCCGGTTGCGCAAACAATGTGCTATATCTAGGCAAAAGTTGCCATAGGAAACTTGTCTTTTATTGTCGAATTTGTTTCCGTTCGCTACTTTAATACTTTAATTTTTATTTAATGTTCCCACATCACTATGACAATTTTATCAACCGGTTCCACTGGTATAATGTGTATTGAGAGTTAATACATTTACTTGTGGAATAAAAACTTGCTTTGTAATATGTATAATGTGTGAAGACATATATGGTTTGTAGATTGCGCGTGATAAAAGAATTATATCCGAAATCGAATTCATTTGTAAAGATATTGTCTAAAGGTCTTTGTAAGATGGCGGAATGCATAAGTTATTCAGAACCTCTTTCATAGAAAAATAAAGTAAATCTCCAAATATAATTTTCGCAGTACGTGCAATTATTATCTATTTATTTGCTGGGTGTAAGAGTCGTCGGACCTGGCAGATCAAACACATCTTAAATGCACTCGTAGTAATTACGTTACCCAGGGACTACGCTAATAACACATTAAGTTAAAATAAACATTTTTGTTGCTGCAATTATCTAACCATTATTTCGCCAACCTTTTAAATTTAAAATAATATAATTAAATTTGTGTTGTCCTGCTACATCAGCAGACACGGTGTGGTGGTTTAGGTAAAGTCGGTGAAAGGCAGAGGGATTGAAACAGGAGGACTGCTTTTATTCGCATGTGCGTACGCTCACAGGCGCCTATTATGTTTATAGCAAATATATAATATACACAGAGCCACTGTGAACGTTTAGCTTAGGTTCATAAATGTTAATCTTTATTGTATGCACGTCTCTCTCTTTCTCTCTCTCTCTCTCTCTCTCTCTCTCCGCTCTTGCTCCTCTCCTCTCTCTCTGTCTGTCTGTCTCTATGTGTCTCGCTAGCTTCGCTCTTACTGTTTCTCCCTTTCCCCTATCTGTACGCACGCGCGTGTGCGGTGTCGCGTGTGTGCGTGTGTGCTGTGCGTGTTGTGCGTGCTGCAGTGCGTGCATGCGTGTAATGCGTGCTGCAGACATGCACCTTCGTGAGGTACAAATATCTATCCATCTATACTATCTATCTATCTATCTATCTATCTATCTATCTATCTATCTATCGTATCTATCTATCTACTATCTAACTATCTAATCTATCTAATCTATTACTATCTATCTATCTATTCTATTCTATCTATTCTATCTATTCATCTATCTTCTTTCTATCTATTCTATCTATCTATCTATCTATCTATCTATTATACCTATCTATCTATCTATCTACCCTATCTACTCTATCTATCTATCTATCTATCATATCTATCTTATCTATCTATCTATCAATCAATCTATTCTATCACCTATCTTATCTATTCTTAAGCTATCGCTTGTCTGTGCTGTTGTCTAGTCTATCTTATCTATCTATCTATCTATCTAATCTTTATCTATCTATCTATCTACTTCTCTCTTGATTTCTACGTTTCAGACGTCAAATAATACTGCGTCTTAAATGCAATAGTTACATTACCCAGGGCGCTACGCCTCTAATAATTACATTTAAAATGCTGCACATTATTTCGTAACCTTTTCGCGAACCTATTTTGAACATACATATAATTTTAAACCTATTGTTGCCTCTGTACTGTTTAAATGCATAATTAACGTTACCCAGACCGCTACGTTCTAATAATACATATTAAATTATGCTTTTTTTTCTTTGCCAACAATTTTTTTTTATAACTTTTTCGCTAACGCTTGTAATCTGGCTGTAACTCTCAATCTACGTCTGAGGACCAAAAAATACCTGGTTTAATTGCAATTAATCTACTTTCCCAGGCACTACGCTAATAATACATATTGAAAGTTGCTGCCAATATCAGCCGCCCCCCCCGCCCGCCCCTCTCGCTAAGTTTTTCCGCCAACCTTTTGAACATACATATAATTAAACTATTGTTGCTCCTGCTAATTAAGAATATAAGTGACATGATCTTCATGATTTATCATAACTAGCAGCTCAGGGTAGACATTGTGAGTGGGGCGAAGTCGTGAAGCAGGAAGAGGCAGTGAAAACGTCGGACTGGTTTCATATAGCGACGTTTCAACATCTGATCAACAATGAAAGGTAAGCTATTTATTACCGAGATACAATCACACGGCACATTTCATTGCATTTCGGCATTTAGATAGAGCACAGGTTCGCGAACACCATTTCCCATTTGGATGCACATTAGCTCACACCCGTCGCGCTAACGCTCACATGGGGCTGTTGGTCAGAATCATGTCTCTCGGTCCGTGCCATCGCAAGTGGCTGCAGCAGAGTCCACGACTCAAATAATTTGCGCAGCTTCCCGCTTCTAATTAATTTTTCGTCCATGTTGTACATTGTCTTGTGATATGGAACTGGTCTTGCTTTCAGCTGATTGCTATGACGTCGCTAGATGTAGCTTGTGAAGTGACTTCTAACAGATGTACGCTGTGTGGGCACCGTGCGTCCACCCCGCCCTTTGCTCCATGGGTACGTGGGTACATTCGTAGGTTGGTAGATGGGTATGGGAGTATAGGTAGGTGTGTATGAGTTGCAGTAGGTACATGGGTAGTGGAACCTGTATAGGTAGTAGGTGTGATGAGGGACGTAGGTAGGTACGTATGTACATAAGCACGCGTGTAGGTTATAGATGTGTGGTAGGTATATCGGTGTGTTAGTAAGGTAGGTAGGCAGGTACGTGTATACATAAGCACGCGTGTAGGTTGGTAGATGTGTAGGTAGGTATATCGGTGTGTCAGTAAGGTAGGTAGGTGGTACGTGTATAAATAAGCACGCGTGTAGGTTAGTAGATGTGTAGGTAGGTATATCGGTGTGTCAGTAAGGTAGGTAGGTATAGGTACGTCTGTACATAGATAGGTACGCGTGTAGATTAGTAGGTGTACAGGTAGTTATATGGGTGTACAGGTATGTCAGGAAGTTGGGTAGATGGGTTCATGTCGTAGATGGGTACATAGCTACGTATGTGCGTAAGTAGGTGGTAGAGGGTAAGAAGTATGCGGGACGTAGGTGCGTTGGTTATGTGTATGTCTACTTGTGTCAACCGAAATTATCTGTAGCAAGAATTAGTAAATTCTTCAAAAACCATCGTTCACAGCATCATTTTGGGGACACTATACAACGCCAGCAAGATATTCATCGCAATGTATAAATGTAAAGTAACGTATATACGTTAACAGCAGGTTCAATAGCATCTATTTAATTCACGAAATATACGAATTGATAAGAGGAAATTCAATTTTACGACATGATGTGCTAGTTTTTGTGTGTGAGATATAGGGCCGGTGATAATCAACGCAACCAAGATTGACTAAATGCCAGCAAATATAAGTGATAATCGTCTGTACTGTATTGAAGTAGGACGGCCTCCTTTCTCTCTCTCTCCTCTACTTTCTTTCTTCTCCTCCTCTCTTCTCTCTCTCTCTCTCTCTCTCTCCGTCTGTCTCTTCTCTCCTCTTCTCTTTCTTTCTCTGTCTCTTTCTTTCTGTCACTTTCTTTCTTTCTCTCTCTCTCTCTCTTTTTTTTCTCTCTCTCAGACTCTCTCTCTCTCTCTCTCTCTCTTCTTTCTGTCTCTCTTTCTTTCTGTCTCTCTCTTCTCCTTTCTCGCTCTCCTTCCTCTCGCTCTCTTTATCTCTATTTATCTATCTATCGCTCTCTCTTTCTTTCTGGCGTTGCTCCTCTTCTTCCTTTCTCCATTTCTTCTGCGATCTCTTTCGTTGTCCGCCCTCTCTCGATCTCTTTCGTTGTCCGCCTCTCTCCTCCTCTTGTGTATCCCCTCTCATCTCTCCCTCACTTTCCCCTCTCTCACTACACTCCCTCTCTCACATTTGTTGGAAACATTGATATTTAATATAGCCTATCGTTTTTGTGTCGAACCAAGTGATATAGTTTGACGTTCCTTTATGCACGTAGGTGTCGTTTATTCGGATCGCATTCGTCGTTTCGACTGGGCTTACCTGTGCCCAACACCGAACGGCACATACATTATTTAGAGAGCTCGTTGGGACCTATGCCGCAGCGTCAATCCAATGACTATCCGTATACTGTAGCGTCTACGATAGCATGAAGAACTCACCGCAAGGTATGAAACATAGCCCTATATTTGAAAATATGCAATTACTAAAATTCACGTTTCAAGCACAATGTTCATTAGTTTTATGTTAAAGAATTAACAAAGTTATATAATACATATGACAGCTTGCGTTAGTTATTGTCATTCGTATAGAATTATGTAGCATGAACGAGGTCTTGATCCGTAATATAAGCACTGGTCAATTTAAAGCAGTTTTGTTTTCCGTCGTGACCACACGAATGTTTCACCTCATTCAGTCCCGTATTATATTGACGTGAATAGTCGGTAAACTACATCCTATGATTATTATATGTGGCTGTTTAACCCGTCTTGTTGTCAAAGACCCCAAGCTGCAAGTCTCGGCCTATTTCTTGGGGCTTCTGTCCGGAGGAAAAACCGTCAATGTGGTGCATGGAACCAGTTTACCGAATGCTCGTCAAAACCTGTGGACATCAGGTATGAGAAATTATAATTCTACTGTAATGACCCGAACGCCTAGTAAGACGTTATTCCCGCACGCACGCACACACTCACATCGCTCACGCCACGCACACACGTAGCGCACCCAACATACACATGCACTGACAACACACACAACACATAAACACACACACACGCACACACGTACACACACGCGCGTGCACCCCCTCCCCCCCCCACACACACACACACCACACCACACCACACACACACACCCATAAACGCCGTTTGCTCGCGTTTCTAAGTAATTTGGATATAGATATTATATATAATCTATATTATGCCACTCCTAATATGATTACCATACATCTTGCTCCTCTCATCTATATCGCATACGCCGCATGGCAATAGCGTTAGCGGGAAACTTCTGAACAACCAACCTCAGTATTGCGTTTACCGGGAGTAAGATCATAACGGATCGCTAACAATTCGTGATCTCATTCGTGTTTCTACCTATCTACACAGACTCGCTCGCGTAATTGCACATGTCACATGTGTGGCGAACAAATACCCATCGGACCGCTGCCTTGCGTCAACATCAACAACACCGTTAACAGCGAGTCTGACGTCGACCACTGTGAGGATGCGAAGAACATAGGAACTATTGAGGTGAAGGCCTGCGGACCATCGTGCCACGGCCTTGACATCGCCAGAGCATTCATTCGACATCTTTATCGGAGCACCGAAGACTTCCTGTTTGAAGAATTTCTTCGATTTCTTGCAGGACGCATTCGCCCCTATCTAGAGATTTTGCAAAGGTCGTGCGCTGAATCATAACGATTGCATATGTCGATATATCGATATGTATATCGATGTATCGATATGTTGATATGTCGATTACTCGAGAGAAATTGTGACGCAGTTTTCTTGCATTCCATATATAGAATATACTTTATAAGTGCGTGTGACAAGCCCTTTCAAATGCATTTATTTTTACAATACGCTGAATGAAGATATATCTATAAAACACACACACACGTCTTGCATTGACATGTATAGGTTGACTTGTAACGTCAATCATACTAAAGGATCAATATATGAGAATAAATTTGCTTATTATCAACCTATATTGTACGTTTTGGTTTCGTATATGATGCACTTTTTGCAAGTATCATTGTTCTGTGTTGTTAGCTGACGAATAATGAGTTACTAATACACATCTTGTGAGTTACAGTGCACCAATATTATAATTTGCGGTGCTGAATGACACATGTCCCAAACTGCCAAGCCGCATGTGTAGGGTAACGACCATAGAAATAATTCTACTAGTACTTCTATATAGTTCTCTCGTTACTACCGTTAGAGAATCAATAGGGAAATGCATCACTTCCGAAAACGTTTGATATTATAAATATATATATACATATACATACATATATATATATATATTTGATAATACCTTTACTTTCATATACATACATAAACAGGATCTATAAATGCGGTATCTCAGACGTTTCTTGGCATGCACAAATGCACCTACCACAACTTAATGCATTAAAATGTAAATTTGTAAACAAATTATGTTACACGCATGCAGATTCGTTTCCAATACGAGTATCTTCCCATGATGCAACTCGCCCACTGCACTATACAAAACCCAGCGAAAATCTTTCATCGCCCCTCAGCATGTTCATGCATATAGCATTGATGTTTATTTTGTCCGAATCTTAAAAAGATGGGCGCGGTTATCGGAAGAAGAAGAATTTCATTCAGAAGAAACTTTTCAGAACAGAACGAAATTTCACTGTTCAGATCATATCACGTAATATAAAACATAACAACGTTGCCCGTAGAAAAATAAATGCTACCCGCTGAGCCGTGCTGCCACCTCCTGCCTCAAATGGCCATCACTATATCGGGATAAACAGCTGAACCTGTGAACGAGGACAGTACTCGGTAAAACGTCAAATGGTAAAAAAAAACACCCTGAATGTGATTTTTAAAAATTATGACTGTACTACGAATATCTGACAAATCCACCGAGAGATTTCACGACCCGGTATTTCATAGTTAATACGTGTTCGGTACATTACATTCTGTACGGGTTCATACAGCGGTGTTCGGTCGTCGGGGCTGAAATACGAATGTACTGTGAGCTCCTTACCCACCGTGACGAGCTGACCCCGCCTATACATTATCCATCAGCAAATAAAGGCTGTACGCCCATGCGCCGATCAAATGCGCAGCTTCTGCTAGACACGCCTATATATAACCGTATATTTATAAGTGGTAAATTTCTCACGGGATTAAGGAGCTCACACTACACCGGTCAGGTTTGTATGCAGTGTTGTGGACACCATATCACAACATATTGAAAATATTTCTACCCAGCTTAGACAGATAATCATAGAATTAGTATAATACTATGTCAGTATTTAAACTTTGTTCTGTATAATGGTGACAAAATCGTAGGTATCAATGTCGATCTATGTTTGCTGCTCTAAGCATTAAATTCGGCTGTACGGAAGCACCGGCTGCGTTTGTTAGCTGTCAGCCTGTCATCATATAAACACAGAATTTACAGAATTTCAATAGATAATCGCAGTAATGGTACGTTAACATTTAATTATCAGATTTTGGTGGATTGGAAAGAATTTTTGCTGGAAGTCGTAGAAATTCATTAGACCGCATCGTAATATAACGTACAAATTCATCGTGTCAGCGGTCTCCTGACAAGCTTAAAATTTACGATATCTTTCAGTTTCATGTTAATGTTTTATCATGTACTTGTCGTATAGGTACGTCTGTACATAGATAGGTACGCGTGTAGATTAGTAGGTGTACAGGTAGTTATATGGGTGTACAGGTATGTCGGGAAGTTGAGTAGATGGGTTCCTGTCGTAGATGGGTACATAGCTACGTTTGTGCGTAAGTAGGTTGGTAGAGGGTAAGAGGTATGCGGGTACGTAGGTGCGTGGTTATGTGTATGTCTACTTGTGTCAACCGAAATTATCTGTAGCAAGAATTAGTAAAATCCTCAAAAACCACCGTTCACAACATAATTTTGGGGACACTATACAACGCCAGAAAGATATTCATCGCCATGTATAAATGTAAAGTAACGTATATACCTTAACAGCAGGTTCAATAGCATCTATTTAATTCACGAAATATACCGAATTGATAAGAGCGAATATCAATTTTACGACCATGATGTGCTAGTTTTTGTGTGTGAGATATAGGGCCGGTGATAATCAACGCAACCAAGGATTGACTAAATGCCCAGCAAATATAAGTGATAATCGTCTGTACTGTATTGAAGTAGGACGGCCTCCTTTCTCTCTCTCTCTCTCTCTTTCTTTCTCTCTCCCTCTCTTTCTCTCTCTCTCTCTCTCTCCGTCTGTCTCTCTCTCTCTCTTTCTCTTTCTTTCTCTGTCTCTTTCTTTCTGTCACTTTCTTTCTTTCTCTCTCTCTCTCTCTTTTTTTTCTCTCTCTCAGACTCTCTCTCTCTCTCTCTCTCTCTTTCTTTCTGTCTCTCTTTCTTTCTGTCTCTCTCTCTCTTTCTCGCTCTCTCCCTCTCGCTCTCTTTATCTCTATTTATCTATCTATCGCTCTCTCTTTCTTTCTGGCGTTGCTCCTCTTCTTCCTTTCTCCATTTCTCTGTCTCGATCTCTTTCGTTGTCCGCCCTCTCTCGATCTCTTTCGTTGTCCGCCCTCTCTCCTCCTCTTGTGTATCCCCTCTTATCTCTCCCTCACTTTCCCCTCTCTCACTAACCTCCCTCTCTCACATTTGTGGAAACATTTGATTTATTTAATATCAGCCTATCGTTTTTGTGTCGAACCCAAGTGATATAGTTTGACAGTTCCTTTATGCACGTAGGTGTCGTTTATCTGATCGCATTCGTCGTTTCGACTGGGCTTACCTGTGCCCAACATCGAACGGCACATACATTATTTAGAGAGCTCGTTGGGACCCTATTGCCGCAGCGTCAATCCAATGACAGTTCCGTATACTGTAGCGTCTACGATAGCATGAAGAACTCACCGCAAGGTATGAAACATAGCCCTACATTTGAAAATATGCAATTACTGAAATTCACGTTTCAATCACAATGTTCATTAGTTTTATGTTAAAGAATTAACAAAGTTATATAATACATATGACATGCTTGCGTTAGTTATTGTCATTCGTATAGAATTATGTAGCATGAACGAGATCTTGATCCGTTTATATAAGCACTGGTCAATTTAAAGCAGTTGTTGTTTTGCGTCGTGACCACACGTAATGTTTCACCTCATTCAGTACCGTATTATATTGACGTGAATAGTCGCGTAAACTACATCCTATGATTATTATATTGTGGCTGTTTAACCCGTCTTGTTGTCAAAGACCCCAAGCTGCAAGTTCTCGGCCTATTTCTTGGGGCTTTCTGTCCGGAGGAAAACCGTCAATGTGGTGCATGGAACCAGTTTACCGAATGCTCGTCCAAAACCTGTGGACATCAGGTATGATAAATTATAATTCTTACTGTAATGACCCGAACGCTAGTAAGACGTTATTACGCCCGCACGCACGCACACACTCACTCGCTCACGCACGCACACACGTACGCACCGCACATACACATGCACTGACAACACACACACACATAAACACACACACACGCACACACGTACACACACGGGCGTGCACCCCCTCCCCCCCCACACACACACACACCACTACACCACACCACACACACACACCCATAAACGCAGTTTGCTCGCGTTTCTAAGTAATTTGGATATAGATATTATAATATATCTATATTTATGCCACTCCTAATATGATTACCATACATCTTGCTCCTCTCATCTATATCGCATACGCCGCATGGCAATAGCGTTAGCGGGAAACTTCTGAACAACCAACCTCAGTATTGCGTTTACCGGGAGTAAGATCATAACGGATCGCTAACAATTCGTGATCTCATTCGTGTTTCTACCTATCTACACAGACTCGCTCGCGTAATTGCACATGTCACATATGTGGCGACCAAATACCCATCGGACAGCTGCCTTGCGTCAACATCAACAACACCGTTAACAGCGAGTCTGACGTCGACCCCTGTGAGGCTGCGAACAACATAGGAACTATGGAGGTGAAGCCCTGCGGACCATCGTGCCACGGCATCGGCATCGCCAGCGCATTCATCGACATCTTATCGGGAGCACCGGAGACTTCCTGTTTGAAGAATTTCTTCGATTTCTTGCAGGGACGCATTCCGCCCCTGATCTAGAGATTTGCAAAGGTCGTGCGCTGAATCACTAGCGATTGCATATGTCGATAAGTGTCTATCTATCTATCTATCTATCTATCTATCTATCTATCTATCTATCTATCTATCTATCTATCTCTTTTGATTCTACGTCTCAGACCAAATACTGGTTTAAATGCAATAATTACATTACCCAGGCGCTACGCTAATAATACATATTAAAATTGCTGCAATTATTTCGTAACCTTTTCGCGAACCTTTTGAACATACATATAATTAAACTATTGTTGCTCTGCTACTGGTTTAAATGCAATAATTACGTTACCCAGACGCTACGCTAATAATACATATTAAAATTGCTGCAATTATTTCATAACTTTTTCGCTAACCTTGTGAATCTGGCTGAACTCCAATCTACGTCTAAGACCAAATACTGGTTTAATTGCAATAATTACGCTACCCAGGCGCTACGCTAATAATACATATTAAAGTTGCTGCAATTATCTCGCAACTTTTTCGCCAACCTTTTGAACATACATATAATTAAACTATTGTTGCTCTGCTATATATAAGCAATGACATTGTGAGGGTGTAGGCGAAGTCGGGTAAAGGAAGAGGCAGTGAAAACGTCGGACTGGTTTCATATAGCGACGTTTCAACATCTGATCAACAATGAAAGGTAAGCTATTTATTACCGAGATGCAATCACACGCACATTTCATTGCATTTCGGCATTTAGATAGAGCATAGGTTCGGCGAACACCATTTCCCATTTGGATGCAACTTAGCTCACACCCGTCCGCTTACGCTCACATGGTGCTGTGGGTCAGAATCCAATTCTCTCCGGTCGTGCCATCGCAAGTGGCTGCAGCAGAGTCCACGATCAAATAATTTGCGCAGCTGCCGCTTCTAATTGGATTTTTCGTCTATGTTGACATTCGTCTTGGATTATGGAACTGGCGCTTGCTTTCAGCTGATTTGCTATGACGTCGCTAGATGTAGCTTGTGAAGTGACTCTAACAGGTGTACGTGTGTGGGCACGTGCGTCCACCCGCCCTTTGCTCCATGGGTACGTGGGTACATTCGTAGGTTGGTAGATGGGTATGGGAGTATAGGTAGGTGTGTATGAGTGCAGGTAGGTACATGGGTACGTGGGAACCTGTATAGGTTAGTAGGTGTGTATGAGGGTACGTAGGTAGGTACGTATGTACATAAGCACGCGTGTAGGTTAGTAGATGTGTAGGTAGGTATATCGGTGTGTTAGTAAGGTAGGTAGGCAGGTACGTGTATACATAAGCACGCGTGTAGGTTGGTAGATGTGTAGGTAGGTATATCGGTGTGTCAGTAAGGTAGGTAGGTAGGTACGTGTATAAATAAGCACGCGTGTAGGTTAGTAGATGTGTAGGTAGGTATATCGGTGTGTCAGTAAGGTAGGTAGGTAGGTACGTGTATACATAAGCACGCGTATAGGTTAGTAGATGTGTAGGTAGGTATATCGGTGTGTCAGTAAGGTACGTAAGTAGGTACGTGTATACATAAGCACGCGTGTAGGTTAGTAGATGTGTAGGTAGGTATATCGGTGTGTCAGTAGGGTAGGTAGGTAGGTACGTGTATAAATAAGCACGCGTGTAGGTTAGTAGATGTGTAGGTAGGTATATCGGTGTGTCAGTAAGGTAGGTAGGTAGGTACGTGTATAAATAAGCACGCGTGTAGGTTAGTAGATGTGTAGGTAGGTATATCGGTGTGTCAGTAAGGTAGGTAGGTAGGTACG